ATTTGAAGGGATATTAGCGCTCGGGTGTTAAAATGAAAATTTACCGATATTCCATCTTTTGTTGAGTATGTATCTATCCAGCCTCTTGGCTTGAAACTACGAAACCGTTTGAACTTTGAAGTCCCATAATATTTTTAATGCTCTAGAACATATTCTGGTTTGTGACTATAAAATTGTCCCCATTGATTTGCATAATTCCAAATTAATCACCGTTCCTATACAGTCAAGTTTATTTTTGTACTCTTCAGCTAATTCAATGATTAACAGTTTTAATTTTCTTTCTTCACTTTCTCCTCGGTTTCTTGATCTTGGTTTCATGGAATTCACTTACTTAGGGTTGCTTTTTATATTTTATTATTTTGAGGAATTTCCAACAAAATTGTGGACTTTACGTTGCTTTCCACTGTTTTCCTAAATCCTTAGACATCCAGCCTTCAATTTTGGCAAATAGCTTTTACAAATATGCGACGTTAATTTGTAAAGTTTACCTATGGGTCGCGAGTTCAATCCCAAAGCTACGCGGAGAAATCCATATGCACTGATAATTTCTGTCTGAATTTTTGAGATGAAAAATTATTATAAAAACTAATTTATTCGGATGTTTTTTTTTCTTTTCTTGGCTGTTTTTATATTCACATCGTTTCGATGACTGTATCCTCTGGTCTTCTTCAGATACTTGTCAAATTCTGTCTTTGTGATGCTGCTACTGATAGTTCCACCTGATTAAATACGAAGAGACAAGTAGGGACATTACGGAATAAAGCTATTCTTACATTTGGTTTAGTTTGGCTTGGATTTGTTTTACGGCATATCACCATCAATGGGTTATTTAATGCCGACAAGATTTTTATTGCTGGTAATATTTTTTTTTCAAAAAGGATTTCTGGTAATATTTTTTTTCAAAAATGTACTGCTGGTAATAATGTATTCCTGGTAATAATGTATCGTTGGTAATAATTTTTTCTTTTGAAAATGCATTGCTGGTATTTTTCCAAAATGTACTGCTGGTAATAATTGTTTCCAAAAATGCATTGCTTGTATTAAAACCTATTTTTACAGTTTCATATTGTTTTGAGCTAAGTTTTTTCGTGGGTGGGTAACTATTTTCCCGTAGCTGGGACCCTACTCCGTCTACTTCACAGTATTTTAAATTTATATCCGGATGTCGTCTGTGCTGACGTGCCTAAAAAGTGTCAATTTATCTAGACATGAATAATTAACCCACCTACCCTAACTTCTGACCTCGTTTTTCTATTTTATCTTTGATCTGTCTTTTGACTGGTTAATCAAGACATACCCGAAAATGTGTTTTTTAACTTTGTAATCTAGGTTTCTCCCCACTTTCTTTTTAACTCCCAGATGTCAAATGAGCTACCGAATTGTTTTCTGAGGTCACAAACGATAAGTTATGAATGAAAATACCAAACAAAAGAACTTAAGCAGCTAAAAATTTTATTTTTCAGTTTTATTTGTAAAACTGTGTAATAATTTAAAAAGGTTTCAGATCAAAATTTTCAATTTTCAGGATTATTATTGATTTTTTAATCCATTTAAAATCTCAAGTATAGCCTAAAATTACAAAAATTACGAGTGGTTCTGTGAGTGAGATATTGTTACTCCAAAGAATGAGGCAGTTGAAGACAAACTCAAAATTCTTGCAACAGATTCATGGGTTGCTATGGCTTTACAGATTAACATACAAAGTTCCAGACACTTCCGTCATTGACCATAACTCAAGTGAGTTCTTCATTGCTCTGAATTTCATGTTGTTCCTTATAAAAAGCTTCAACTCTAAGGTGATTCTCAGAAATTCCGACCCTTTGAATTTGTCCAGTGGAATTCGTCATATGTGATCAAAGTTATTATCTTAATCAGTGTGGAAAAAAAGGAGTGTTTATTTCCAGTATCCCAACAACCCCATCAATCTTGCTCTTTGCATTTAAGCAAGTTCAAATCCTAATGAGATTCAACCTAAACTCTGATCATGAACAAGGCTCAAAGATCATCTTTTAATATCACTGCCCGCAGTTCTTTGTATGATCAAATCTATGTTGGGTGTTCTACGCTTGTCTTGCCAAACTACCTTTTCATAATGGCAACCAACAGTAGTAAGAATGATTTTGTCTATTCGGAATTCTTATCAAATTAAGAGACTTTGCTTTATACCCAAAAAAGTTTGATTAAAAAAAAACGGGAATATCTATTTATTTTTTTAGTTTTTAGTTTTTTATTTATTTTTTTTTTTGTTGGTATTTTTCCAATTTTCGGATAAGGTGTTGAAGTTGTGGATAAACTGACCGAAGTTTATATTTTGTTATTTCTGTCCAAGTACTTTCGACTTTCGCGGTCATTATCTGTTATATAGGAATAAATTGTCGCTGCCGACACTGGGGTTTGAACACAGATCACCACAGAGCAAACAGGCGATCCCATTTTGAATAACTAGATCACGTGATGGTAAAGGAAATATATATATGGGAATTAGCGTGGCGTTTAAGTGACGCCACGTGGATTATATCAGGTGTTAGGGGAAACATTCAGGATGCTTTGATAGGCGAGCTCGGTCTGACGAAGCGGGAGGCTCGCTGCTTATGGCCTTGGGCGCTCGGGTTGAAATGTCTCCCTAATACTGAGGCATCCCTCACCTGACTTTTGATTCGAGGGGCCCTCTGGGTCGCCAAGAGACTTCGTTAGGCGGGTTTGGTAAAGTCTCCAAACTGCGTTCGCTGCATTGAGGAGGTAGAGACCATAGGTCACGCCTTCTTTCATTGTATATGTCGTAGTTCCATTGTACAAGTTTGTTGAAGATATCATGGTTTGCATGCTGCGCGGAAAGTTCTTTGTCCTCGAGGCCAGTTCCGTCTGTAGCAATATATTACCGCCGTTGACTAAGGCTGAGCACTATGTGTTCCTTTGCTTACTGGGGGGGTTATGCAAGTCGTGATATGGACGACGCGACAGAAGGAATTTCATGGGGACGAGAAGTTTTCCTCTTCGCAACTGATCCTTTTCTTTAAGCATCTGCTTAAAGTCAAGATCAGGACGGAAAGGAAGCGACTCCATCCATTGGAATTTAGCGAAAGGTGGGTGAGTCTTGCGCGTCTCTGCAGAGTAAAAGGTGCTGACTTGGAGTGGCATTTTGATGCCGGTTAGGCTGTAAGAATATTGGCATTTCTGGATTGAACTATGGCAACCCTTCCCGTTACAGTTTAGGTTAGGTCGTTTTTTGTTTTAGTTTCTTCTCTTTAGCCAAGTTAACTTAGTTAAGGTATGTATGCTCATCGGCCCCTTTTATTTTTGTCCCTATTTTTCTTTTGTTTAATTCCCCATCCCTCCCATCTTTAGGTGGATAGTAATGTCAGTTCTCTGCTGGGTGCGGGCGTCTTTCGTTTAGAGTGTGATTTTCGTAATTGTTGTATTTGAATGAGTGTGTGCTTGTAGTGAGTGCATGGCACATATGAATGTTTTAAATTTTAAAAAAAAGTCCCGTATTGATTTCCTCCAGTTAACTGATGCTTCTACCACAGTTAGTGTTGTGGGGTGGGTTATTACTAACATTATATTGTTTAGTTTATTGTATATAGTTTTGTACTCGTTTGTAAATACACATTGGGGTTTTTAGATTTTTTAAATTGTTATTTTATTTCCTACGCACAGACAATGGATTGTACACATGGGAACTAGTTAGGACTTCATAGAGTTTCTGAGGAATTATAGTGGATGAGGTAAGAATGGTAAGTAAGAATATGTTTGTTTTGGTGGAAGGAATATTGTTGTACGTTTAGGTCAGTGTTTGTGGCTAGCTAAGTTATACGGTAAGACAGAACAAGACCGTCCTTTTTCTAATTCTCCCTTTTGCTTTTGTGCCCCATTTGTACTTTGTACAAAAATATTATCCCTATATGGATTACTTAGAAAGTGTGTTGGTCAAACTCTCTACCTCCGGGTAGAGAGGATCCCCAGATGAGGCTATGCCGAAGGGCAAAATCTCGTCTCGAGGAGGCAGCTACCCGACCCTGTTTTTTACGGGGTCTACGGGGAATCTTTTTGACCGAACCTACGGGATCGAATACCTCACAATAAACTTGGCTTTGCGCAACATCCGACCGTTCGAGCGAGTATTATCGAGCAAGTGCTATTAGTGCTAGTGTTTTCGAAGGCGTTTGACACCAGTATTGTTCAACGGCGTTACTATAGTTGTGTCTGCAATTACAAAGTCTCTACTACAACGAGCGTTACGAAAGTGACAACGAGTATTCGTTGACATCACAAAATTATCAAATACATATCCGATTAAGAAGAATAGAATAGATTTAAATGCATCGGTTTATGTATTTTATGCAAAAAAATAAATGCACACATATCGCCGAAATAATGGTGCTTTCCTAAAATAGAATATCTGAAGACATTTCACTTTATTTCTTTGGGGAAAAAAATCCAAAATTAGAAAATGATATCATTTTTTTCATTTCCAGATGAGAATCTTCAATCACTTGCTGTACAGTTGTCATCATGCTTCTAATTTTGATTTTTGTGTTTACATTCTTTGATGACAAAGCCTTTGGTCAAGTTCAGAGAGGCAGTAGAGGATTTGAATCAAAACTAGTTAGCTTAATTCATTGGGTTTTTTTTTTTTTTGCCCTACTCTTTCCTCCCAATCTACATTAGCATGCAGATACATTAAATGATATTTCCTTTTTTTCCCGCCTGTTTTCTTCCAATCTACATTATCATGCAGATGCACAAAATGATATTTCCTTTTTTTCCCGCCTGTTTTATTCTAATCTACATTATCATGCAGATGCACAAAATAATATTTCCTTTTTCCCCGCCTGTTTTCTTCCAATGTACATTATCATGCGGACGCACAAAATGATATTTCAGTTTTTTTCCCTCCTGTTTCTTCCAATCTACATTATCATGCAGATGCACTAAATGATATTTCCTTTTTTCCCTCCTGTTGTCTTCCAATCCAGATTAGCATGCAGATGCACAAAATCATGTTTCTTTTTTTTTCCTCATATTTTCTTCCAATCTACATTATCATGCAGATGTACAAAATGATATTTTTTTTTTCCCTCCAGTTTTCTTCCAATCTACATTATCATGGAGATGCACGAAATGATATTTTTTTTTCTTCTCTCATGTTGTCTTCCAATCTACATTAGCATGCAGATGTACAAAATGATATTTCCTTTTTTTCCCTCCAGTTTTCTTCCCATCTACATTATCATGGAGATGTACAAAATGATATTTCCTTTTCTTCTCTCATGTTGTCTTCCAATCTACATTAGCATGCAGATGTACAAAATGATATTTCCTTTTTTTCCCTCCAGTTTTCTTCCAATCTACATTATCATGGAGATGTACAAAATGATATTTCCTTTTCTTCTCTCATGTTGTCTTCCAATCTACATTAGCATGCAGATGCACAAAATGATATTTCCTTTTTTTCCCTCCAGTTTTCTTCCAATCTACATTATCATGCAGATGCACAAAATCATGTTTCTTTTTTTTTCCTCATATTTTCTTCCAATCTACATTATCATGCAGATGCACAATGTGATATTTCCTTTTTTTCCCTGCTGTTTTCTTCCAATCTACATTATCATGGAGAGGTACAAAATGATATTTCCTTTTCTTCTCTCATGTTGTCTTCCAATCTACATTAGCATGCAGATGCACAAAATGATATTTCCTTTTTTTCCCTACTGTTTTTTCCCAATCTACATTATCATGCAGATGCACAAAATCATGTTTCTTTTTTTTTCCTCATATTTTCTTCCAATCTACATTATCATGCAGATGCACAATGTGATATTTCCTTTTTTTCCCTGCTGTTTTCTTCCAATCTACATTATCATGCAGATGCACAAAATGATATTTCATTTTTTTCCCTACTGTTTTTTCCCAATCTACATTATCATGCAGATGCACAAAATCATGTTTCCTTTTCTTCCCTCATGTTGTCTTCCAATCTACATAAGCATGCAGATGCACAATGTGATATTTCCTTTTTTTTCCTAATGTTTTCTCCCAATCTACATTATCATGCAGATGCACAAAATGATATCTCTCCTTTTTTTTCCCTGCTGTTTTCTTCCAATCTACATTATCATGCAGATGCACAAAATGATATTTCCTTCTTTTTTTCCTCCTGTTGTCTTCCAATCCAGATTAGCATGCAGATGCACAAAATCATGTTTCTTTTTTTTTCCTCATATTTTCTTCCAATCTACATTAGCATGCAGATGTACAAAATGATATTTCCTTTTTTTCCCTCCAGTTTTCTTACAATCTACATTATCATGGAGATGCACGAAATGATATTTCCTTTTCTTCCCTCATGTTGTCTTCCAATCTACATTAGCATGCAGATGCACAATGTGATATTTCCTTTTTTTCCCTGCTGTTTTCTTCCAATCTACATTATCATGCAGATGCACAAAATGATATTTCCTTTTTTCCCTCCTGTCTTCTTCCAATCTACATTATCATGCAGATGCACAAAATGATATTTCCTTTTTCCCGCCTGTTTTCTTCCAATCTACATTATCATGAAGATGCACAAAATGATATTTCATTTTTTTCCCTCCTGTTTTCTTCCAATCTACATTATCATGCAGATGCACAAAATGATATTTCCTTTTTTTTCATTCCTGTTGTCTTCCAATCCAGATTAGCATGCAGATGCAAAAAATCATGTTTCTTTTTTTTTCCTCATATTTTCTTCCAATCTACATTAGCATGCAGATGCACAAAGTGATATTTTTTTCCCTCCTGTTTTCTTCCAATCTACATTATCATGCAGATGCACAAAATGATATTTCATTTTTTTTTCATTTGTTTCTGGATTGAAACTCTATTGGTTAAATATGTAAAGGGAAAATGTTTCTTTATAAGGAAAAAATGCTATGACTAGCCCATCAACTTCAACTAAAGTTCTGTGGATAAAATTTCATTTTCATTTGCTTTTTTTTTTTTTTTTGACACGATTTTAGAGCGATTAATTCTAATTAAATTCAATTTAGTGCCTTCTATTTCATATTTCTTTCTTTTTTTTTTTACTTACAATATTCTTCATATACGTCAGTTTTTGATATCTAAAATGTAAAATACCTAGTCATTGAACCTTTTTCCATCTTGTACGCACGGTTAACACGTTACTATTTTCTTTTTAGATGTAATTAGATATCGGATGTGAAAAAATATGCCCCCAATTTTAGAGACAAGAAAGAATTGGCCAAAATGGTTTCTACTGACAGAAAGCAGACAATGACTACTTTGTTAAGGAACACATTTCCTCTCTGTGCTAAGAATTAGCCAGATTAAACTGCTTTCACGGTTATATGCAAACTTTCTTATAAGAAAGTATTTCTTGAAAACAGAATATTTATTCTCACCAGGGCATTGTCGCTTGCTCAAACAGACGCAACGCTTCTAATCTGTTTTTATCTTTTTTATTTATTTATTTTTATTTTTTTGTTTTTCGTGACTTTTTCTTTGTTATTTTTCTGTGCCTTCAATGTATACGCACCCAGATGTCAATAAAGAGTATGCACACACTAAAGTGCACATGTGTATGTTCTACATTAGTCCTGCGTTTAGTGTTAATTGGAATCGTTTGCATATTAAACTTATTCTGAAATCAGGTCCCAAAGGACTTAAATATTCTAGCTGGTGATAGTAAGTGATTAGTTGTGCAAAATCTGGAGGAGATTTTTTTCTGCGGAGGAGTGGGGTGCAAATTCAAGCAGCTTTTTTTATTTTCATACTAAACCACTATCGTATACACAACTTAGAAATGAGCATTAGCAATAAGTATGTCACTTCACTAAATTAAACGGAATAACTTTTCATTCATAGTAGTGGAGTTCTAATCTATTCTTGCCCTCTTTTCCACTCTCAATCTGTTGGACCACAAGAGAGGTTAACTTCAAAACAAAATCAAAGGGTTAAATACTAACGTCAATACTAGCAGGAAAATGTAATTTGTCTGCTCTGGGTTTTTTTCCTCTACAAAACTTAGAAAAGCAGGGGGAAACCAAGGGGCCAGCCAAAATTCGGTGGGGAGGGGGCTTCTGTCCCCTCCTTAGAATTGCCACTGGGCACTGGAGATTCTATCTAAAAAAAAAAAAACGATGGATTTTAGAAAATGAAAGTAGAGAAATAATGAAAATGAAGAGTGATGGAAAAGAGATGAAATTAAGATTGGAGAAATAGAAGGAGTATATTTTAACCAAAAATGTCAAATTATCTGAAGTGATTTCCTTTGTTTTTTATCATTTATTTATTTGGTTATTTTATCACCAACTTTATTTTAAACTTTAAACAAAAGAGAAAGCGAAAGCTTCTTTTTCTTCATGCTTTCGTTCTTTTTTTTTTTTTCTCACGACGTTAGTTTTTTTTTTTTATTCCTCTCTATTTGTGTCTTAATTTCTCTTATTCTTCTCTTTTACTCTCACTTTTTTAAACAAAAAAAAAAAAAATGAAAAAATAAAACAACTTCCTTTTTCGGTATTTTTTATACACTTGCCGGATATTTTTTTTTTTGCCTTTCTTCTTTCTTTTTTTTTTTTATTTTTTTATTTTGCCTTGTTTCTCGGGTCCGCCATCGCATCAGACCGTGTCTCGTTTTTCAAGCCCGCGTCTTTTCAACTCACAACAAACATTTTTATTTGTTCTGCGAATATCTTTCGCCTGTTGGGCCAAATCTTGAAGGCAGCAGGCGGGTAAGTAGGGTCCGGGATTCAGCTTAGGTTGGAGATTGGTTGAGGAGGTGGCAGTAGTCGAAGGAAGCCCGGGCAAAGTGACAGAAACGACCAGCTGAGTCAACAAAATTCAGCTATCTAACAGCTGGTCCCGGCCTGACCGCCTGTTTACGTCATTAAAGAGAACTATATATTTACTTACCTCCTCACAAGAGTGTTACACAGCCTCAGCCACACTTTCGTCTATATTTGACGGCTACACTTTTTTAAAAACTTGTTTTCTGATGGTGTTGCTAGTGTGTTAGTAGTGGGTGGTGGAACGTTGTATCTGTCGTTTAGTGTGTATATTTGTGTGCGCGCGCAAGAGCGGGTGTGCGAATGTGTAATGTTACTGAGTATTGTGTTCGTTCGTATAAATGAATTTTTCAGGGATCTGCTCTTTCAGGAGATGAAAAATCTTGCTGTGATCGTGGTAATAACGAAATGGGACGAAGTAAAAATAGTAGGAGTGGAAAAGTGCGAAAGGAAGAGAGTGAGAAAAGAAAATTGAAGAATCAATTTGAAAGAAAAAAAATAAATAAAATGGCTGGCGAAAAGGAACAGAAAGAAACACAATGAATTGGAAAGATGGAAGTGAAGAAGAAGTAAGAGAAGATAAAAGAAAAAATGGATGGAAAGAGGCAACGGGAAGAGAAATGAAGTAAAAAAAAAAAAAAATAAGCAAAGAAAAGAACACAAGAAGAAGGATTTCAAACTCAGAGTAAAAATTAAAAGAAAATGTAAAGACCAAAACTTTTAGTCGATTTTGTGTTTTCGAATTGGGAATGATAGAAATGTCAAAAATGGACTGCCAGACTTTTGAAACTGACTTGAAATATGATTTGCTTATATTTCCAGCAAAATTCACAACACTAGATAAGTGCATAGGAACACTATTTTCACCATATGGTGGACTCTCTCTTCGTATTCGATGTATGAGGGTCAAGCAGGTCATTTCCTAGGAACCGACAGCCAGACACTAGCATATATGATTTGATTATAGTTGATTATAGTTGATTATAGTTTGATTATAGTTGATTATAGTTTGATTATAGTTTGATTATAGTTGATTATAGTTGATTATAGTTTGATTATAGTGGTGAATATAGTTGATTATAGTTTGATTATAGTTGATTATAGTTTGATCATAGTTGATTATAGTGGTGAATATAGTCGAATATGACCTCCGTTAAATTTAAACTAAGCGAAGAAGCAAAACTTAAGAAATTATTTTCCCGTAGATTGGCAGTCAATGGCAGCACATTGCTCTACTTTGTATTGAGCTTTCTTTTAAATTATATGCTACGAACGTTGGAATTGTACTCTATTCGTTCTCATCTTATATATATATATATGTGTGTGTGTGTGTGTTGGACTCTCCCGTTGTATGAGGGTCAAGACACATTTGAAGGGTTATGAATATTTTAACGTTCTCATTTGAAGCAGATTTTTTTGTTTTTGGTGTATTTGCCATCATCAAGCTCATTTGGAAACAGACAACTTTTTTTCTCTTCCAAGCTACAATAAAAAGTCACTATATGACTTATGCTACTGGTTTTGTGCTATTGATTCAGAAGGTTAATATTCATCCGCTATTTACAAAGTTTAAAATCTATACTTCACGATCAAATATATAAGTTTGTAAATTCAAAGATACTCCTGAAATGATAAAACAAACAGTTTGTTAGAATTAACGTTAGTTCGAAAAAATATATTTTATTCAAACAGTTAAAAAAAAAAAAAAAAAAAAAGTCAGGCTAATTATTCTGCGGGAAATTGATAGTTTAGATTCGATTGAATACTTTGTGTGCCAAAATTCTCTACTACAGAAGAAAGTTAATGGAAGAGATTCCCTACACCTGGAACTATTTCCGAGACAGCAAAGCCAGGCTGTGTAACGTATGAAAGTTCTTCCAAGAATGCAGAATTTGTGTATTTTACGGGAAACTATACACATGTGCTAGCCTACTGTGCTGTTAAGAAGCCTAGATGTTACGAAAATGTTTCTTGCTGTTTAGAGTAAAACGCTAATTACGTTCAGTTTTTAAATTGAAAGTTTTCTAAGATTTCAGTATTTTCAGTATTTTCTTTTTTTGGCCGAAATGCATACAAAAATATAATCTTGATATTTACAAAGCTTATTTTAGTATAACACAAATAAATAAGAAGGAATAAGAATAAATAAATATCATTCATCTTCCATTTAAGGCAATCTTATTTGCCTTCAGACTAAAAATCCTGTTTTTATGCCTTGAGTTTGAGGGCTAACTCCGGTGAGAAACCCGTGACTGTCTAAACAAACCAACAGAACACACACACACACACACACACGCATAAATATATATATATATATATATATATATATATATATATATATATATATATATATATATATACAAACGCACAAATACAGGGTTAGTAGAGATGGAAAAAAATTCCGATAACCAAAAACACTATTCTGAAAAGAGAAAACAATATAGAGTAGAGCAAATAATATTTATTCAAAATTATAGCATAAACATCTCATAACATCACTACAAAAATAGCCATTTTGTTTCAACACTTCTGGTGTCTTGTCAAGTGATGGGACTGATTGTAGAATAAAGAGTTTTCCTTGACAAGACACCAGAAGTGGCTATTTTCGTAGTGATATTATAACATGCATATGATATAATTTTGAATAAATATCATATATATATATATATATATATATATATATATATATATATATATATATATATATATATATATATATAATTGTGTATTTAGGCAGCAGTCCTTCTTTCATGCACATTTCATTGAATACGACAGACAAAGTACTTTTGATTTAGTTTTTTTTATACAATTTCTCATGCGATCTAATAATTTTTTTCTTTTCAGATGATAAATTATATAAAACTATCTGCTGTCTGAATGTTCTTTTTTTCCCGAGCGCTTTCGACTATACATTTAGTCGTTTTCAAGGATGAATTATTTTAACTGTTAAATAAGAAAAAGTTTGTTACATGTATGTATTTATGTAATATTTTCATTTTTCAAAACGCGGTTAAGATATTGTGTCCATGTTCATACTTGATATTATTAAGTGTTGTTTTTTGTTTGTTTTCATTAATAAGGCTTCGATTATTTTAGCCCTTTTTTTGCATGTAGATGATGCTATTATATTAGTGTTGTCAACAAGTATGTTACGAATAGTGTCCGATAGGTCTCCATGAATATTTAAATCTTATTTAACAGTTAAAAGAATTCATCCTTGAAAATGGCTAAATGTATAGCCGAAAGTGCTCGTAAAAAAAAAACAACATTCGGACAGTTTGTATATAATTTATCATCTGAAAAAAAAATTAGATTGCATGAGAAAGTGTATAAAAAATTAAATCAAAGCACATTGTCTGTAGTATTCAATGAAATTTGCATATATATATATATATATATATATATATATATATATATATATGATTTGAATGTGCAGTATTTACGAGAAAATAGTGCTCAATGTCAAGAATAGAGCATTTATAAATGCAAACTGTCATAGTAACAGCGACGTAGAAATAAAGACGGCATTGTGACAGTCAGTTTCATACTTGAAGCGGATACAAGACCATCTGTTGGTGTGTAGGTTTAGGATTAGCTTATATCTATAGAGCCTACACAAAGAGGAGTAACACATGATACATATAAGCAGATGTCTTCATTTTTAAACAACTTTTAGTTAATGATCTAATCAATTCAATAATATGATATAAATTA